CTCTCCCTGACAGATGGAATCCCCACCAGATGTTACGCAGGCTCCTCTTCCAGGCACTGGTGCTCTGCAGTGGGGTGCCTGGCACGGGGCTGATGCCTCATTCTTGGGAGGGAACCTTGGCAACTGAGGTATACCTTCTGATCCACAACTGTTGTATGTGGGTTTGGGGCCAGCCCTATCCATGTCTCCGCCCTACCTACAGGATGCGCTTCTGTAAATCCTTGCTTAGAAGACTTCTGCTCAGCTAGTTTTTAGTTGGTTATTCAGGTTGATTGTTCTATAATTTAGTTGTAATTCCAGTTTGGTCCTGGGAGGAGGTGAGCCTAAGTTTCCCCTACTCAGTTGCCACATTGGATCTCCAGTCCTGGATGCTGGAGGTCCAAGATAAGGGTGCCGGCATGCTCAGGTTCTGGGGAGGGCCCTCATCTTCCAAGGCTCTCAGTACTTTTGCCATAGACATCTTTGCCATAAATCCATGTTTTCCTTTTCTATTCTAGAATGTAATAGTAATTTAAAAGGCTGTAATTCAGCATCCAGGAGAACTATAAGGTATTTTTCTGTTCTACAGTTCCATGATTAGACTTTTAGGAAAAGAAACCAACTATGCTTGCTTTCATGTGCTTAGGGTTTTCTGTTACCTATATGCAAGAAAATGGCAACAAAGTAGTCCTTGGGGAGGGAAACTTACTTTTTCCCTGTACTGAGCTTTCTTGCACTGAGCCCCTTTTTAATATCATGTATTATTTACTACTAATAAAGATAATTTTAAAAACAAATATTTTAAAATGTAGGTAGACAAAACATTTTACTTGTTAAAGCAGAGCCCTCCTATAAATGCTTACATCCTGTTCTTGCTCTTCTATACAACCTTATAATTAGTGATTTTTAAAAATAATAATTCTTAGGAACTGTGGGAGGTGGAACAGAGATACAGAAGGTTTTGATGATGTAAATTGCTATATATTCTGCAAATATTTGTAACTACCTGTGATAGGTCCTGGGCTGGGTTCTTTCTCCTTCCTCTAACTTTTAGAAGGCTTCTTGTGTAAATACCCAAGCATTTTTTTTTTTCTTTGAGAGTTCTGCATGCTTAAAATGCTTCCCATAGATAAGGGATGGTCTGTTCTCCATGAAATCAGCAATGAGCTCACCTTCAAGGAGAATGACCCAGGGTACTGAGGTAAGTCCAGGTATTTGGTTGAGGCAGAAAATTTTTTACTGATGTGAAACGAGGTTGAGGTACGTTGATGACCTACGTGTGGGTGAGACAGAGTAGTTGTACTGGTTGGGGGCGGGGGGGAAGGAATAGTAATCTTGAAATGGAGTTGCAATATTGAGAAAATAAAACATAAGGAGGAAGATTTTTTAAAAAGGAAGGGACAGAAGGGAGGGTGGCTGGCTACAGGAACTGATTCAGGGAAATTTTAACTCACTAAATTGTTGAATTACCCAAAAGCTGATTCTAAAGATTTGTAAACAGAATGCCGAACACACTAAAATAATGGTGCACCATCATCTAACACCCTGCAGAGCACAGACTAGGGTGAGGTAGGCCACAGAACTTAAGGGAATGCCAAAGAACTCAGTAATCAAGAGAAATAGTTTAATAAAATATTGAAAAAATTAATGCAATAATGTATGACGAAAAATATCAACATTTAAAATAAGGACAAGGATAGTATTTCCGGTCTTTCCTTTTTCTTCAGACTCCAAGAGGCCGTGGGTAGGGCACTGTTAGTGATCCTGCAGAAACTTCCTACTCAGGTACTTTTTTATTAATGATGTTTCCCAAAAGTTAGTTCTTATAGTCTCGTGTCACATCAGTGAAAACTTTTCTTGAATGCCCCAGCATTTATCTGTAGCTCTCTTCTGTCTGAAAACCCATTTCCCTTAGCAACTGGCAGCACTGAATCATCTTGGATCTTTTCCAATTCCTTCCCAAACCACAGTGGTCACTCAGCACAGAAATCACAGACCTCAAACTGGCTGTCTTAGGGGTTGAGCTGGGAAGGAACCCGGATATGTTTTGTTTGATACAAAGCATTTTTTTTAAAAAGAAAATATTATCAACATTTTAAAATGAGAATATTTTACATGAAAATAATTTATATCGCTCACTTCTTGGAAAATTCGAAAACCTAGCAAAAGTAGGCCCAAATTCTTCGTGATAGCAATGGGCGATTTAGAGCAGAGCGGCTCTGCCTGCCCTTTAAGCTCTGTCTAGTTCGCCACCTCCTGCACGGTTTCCTTACTCGTTTACACCGCCTGCCAGGCCCCAGGAGCTTTCAGTTTGCCACCTAGGAACGCAGGTGCAACGACTAACAACCGTCTGTTGGGTTCATCTGTTCTCTTCCAGGAAAATAAATGTTTTTCCTTGTTGTCCTTTCGAATACAGTCTTGCACAGAGGCTTACAGAAACAGCTCACCTTTCCAGCGGACAAACTTCTCACACCCCATGAAACTTGCACTGCGCTCCGCGCACTGTTTCTCACCGGCCCTTTGCTCCAGAGCCCCTTCCCCTGCACAAGGGCCTTCCCTGGGTCCCCCACCACCTTCGCTCTGGAACCGGGAGGTCGCATCCCGGCCCCCCGGCGCAGCTCCCTACCCCGGGCTGGGGCGCCCGGCTCGTCCTCGGCGGCACTGGGCATGCTCAGAGGCGGCCGCGGGGGCAGGTTTGCTTCGCAGGCGCTCGCACTCGGCGGCCGGCGGGCGCGCGGCTGCAGCCGGAGCTCTGGCGCCTGGAGTTGGAGTTGCCGGGAGTTTCGCCCCAACCCCTCTCTCTTCGCGCGCGGCTGCCGGAGCCGGCGCGGGAGCCGCGAGAGGCGGCCAGCCAGCACCCTAGGCGGCCGAGCCTTGTCCGGAGCCCGAGCTCCGCGCGGGGCAGCCGCGGGGAGCAGCCTCGCCGCTGGGACGCGTGCCGCGCGCTGGCACTGCCCGGGCACGAGCCGGACTGCACGGTAGGGCCAGGGGAGGGGAGCGGGCGGCCGAGGCAAAGGCCCGGCCGGGGGCATGCGGCTGCAGCCGCCGCAGCGATCGGGGCTCCCGGCGCACGGTCCGATGCGGGAGGCCGGGGCAGGGACCCTGCGGGGGCGAGGAGGAGTAGGCAGGAGCCCAGATAGATGCCTTCAACTTGGCAGGCGGCGGGATAGGGGGGCTGCGCGCCCCGGCGCGGCTGCTTAGTGCGCGCCCGGAGCGATCCGGGTGGCGGGCTCCCCCGCAAAACTGGGACCCGGCGTGCGGACAGGCTTGGGCAGCCGCCGAGCGGAGCACTTTCCTCCGAGAAAGTTGAGAATGGAGCCCTTTTATTCTCATTGTCCCCGCGGTACTGTAGTCCCCAGGGTGCGGCCCGAAGCCCCCCGGGTGGAGGAGCTGAGTGGGTCGCTGCGCCCCTGGGCTGAGATTCTACGCCCGCTGAAATCCGCGAATCACCCCGAGCCTCGCTTCCCTGGCGTCTTCTAGGAAAATCATTCCTGCCAAAACTGAGGAACGCTCTCCGAGCGGGCACGGCTCCCTGCCTCTGGGGCGCTTATTAGCGCGATGCCCCCTCCTCAGCCTCAGCCGTGGCCAAGGGCGCCGGGTTTCGTGCTAGCTCCTGAGGTGATGCGCGCCGGAATGGAGCCTGACACACATGGTGGGGCAGTGTGGCTGGGGCAGGTGGCCAGCCTGACTTTTCCTCCAGCTTTTCCTTAGTTTTACAGCACCCTACCTTCCCCCCCACCCCGCCCCGCCCCTGTTCATCTTTGCAGAGACGGAGCCTGGAGGAAGGGCCAGGTGGAGAGTTTGGGTGGACATACTGTTCCTTGGGAGAGAGCGCCTGGGTCGGATCCGCCTTGGACTCCGGCCCCAGGACTTCAAAACGAACCCTCTCCCCTTTCCTTTATTCCTCCTCTGGGGCCGAGTGGGAAGTATCAATAGCAGGGCCGGTGGGTCTACAGGGATGTCCACCTCATCCCATTGGTCTCCTTCAGATCGTGTTCCAGGTGACTCCAGGACCCTAAAAATGGCATTGTGTGGATTGCGAGGGTGTGGAGGATGCTGATGGTTTCTCTTGGCTCCACTTTTTTCACTTCTTGTTTTGAGTTTTGGGGCTTGGCCTGCACGCCAGTCAGAGCTGTGCTGTCATAACCCGAGGGGGGTGCGGGGTAGAGGAGCCTGGGCCAGGCAGTGAGTGAGCTGCTGTTCTCCTCGCCTCTGAGGCTGCTCGTGGGAACTGGTCCAGAAATGATTATGCAGGCTAGAAATATGCCTCTCTTTTTTTTTTTTTCTTTTTTGGCTGAACACCTTGGCTGTTGGGTTTGTGTGTTAAGTTCTTAAAGGGGCATCCACACACTGCTCAGTTACCATGTTTTAGGGGCACCCCATTTGTGTTGCATGCTTTTTTGTGTGCTTTTTCCTAGGGGTAATCTGCTTTGGGGCACATTTTCACATGTGGGAATCACCTGGTGTGGGCTCACAGGCTCCAGAGCCAGACAGACCTGAGGTCAAGTTGTAGCTTTACAGGGGATGACTGTGCTGACGGACAAATTGCTAGCCACTCGAAACTTCAGTTTTCTCTTCCATCAAGTGGGACTAATGATGATGACTTTATCTCCTTTCATTGCAGGGTTGTTGTGAGACTTGGGTGAGATAATGGAAATGAAAAGTGCTAAGAAAACTTTAAAGCACTATTCACGTCTTACTGTGTTTGTGCCCTTTACAAAGATTTAAAAAAAAAAACAATTTAAAACAATTATAATAAGATTGCTAAGTCTTCTTCTCTGCCCACTCCTTACCAAGATGTTTAGTTGCTAAGGTCTTTGGAGTAGCCATTTATCTTCTTTTTTCCTCTTCCCTTAAATCTCTCATTTGATGCCCCCGTCCTCATTTATCTGAGGGAAGCAGCAAGGTGTAGGTTAGGAGACAGGGTGGGATTGCCTTCTAGTGAGTGTACAGAGTCCTGGTCCCTGGTTTCAGATCCACGGTTGATGAACACATCAGCAGACCCTGGGGTGGAGCTCTGGCTTGGCTTCTCACAGTGACCTTGAACTGAGGACTCATCCCCTCATTGGGGAGGTCAGTCTGTGAGGGAAGGAGTCAGTGCTGAGCAGAGGCAAAAACCGGTGAGATTGTCTCTCACACCCTCAGTGAAGGTTTCATCGGGCTCCTGACCCCCCACCCTCTGCATCTTCCCAGATTCCAGGGCAGTGGTTCTCAAACACAAGCATCAGAGTCACCTGGACTAAACCTAAGAGCATCACGGACTTTCAGCGTGAGAGAGAGAGTAAAAGAATGAGGTTTGTTCTGAAATGCCATTATCTCCTCTGTAGAGAGAGAGTGTTTCAGGAACTTCCCTAATGCATTTTGTGCCGCTTATCACTGTCCAGTTTTAATAATCCCGATTACTCTTCAAATGAATTGATTTTACACACAGAAAAAGATAAGATCTCCCCTCCTTTTTGTACTGTGAAGCATTTAGTCTTTGGTTTCTAGGTCATTCCTGGGTAGACTGAGATTGGTGATCCTGATATTGATAAATCCAACAACAATCCCATTTTCTTTCTCTGGGAATCTCAGACATTTGTAGAGAGGAGGTTGCATGAAGTTCTGGCAGCTTGAACCTTAAGATCAAAGAACTTACAAGTAAGTTTAAAAAGAATTGCAGTGTGGTGTCTTCTCTGAATGGACGTCTTACCCAGGCCTCGAGGGAGGTGAAGTGCATCCCATGATAGATGTCCCATAGTGGTCAGATTTGGTGAAGACCTTCCATTCCTTCTGGAGGATGGTGGTGTAGGCAGTAACCGAGATGCTCTCTCCCTCTTCAAGAGGGGGGAAGGCTGTCATTCAGGGAGCAACTGTGCCGCATCAGTGCTGCTTGGTGTGATTTAGTTTATTATCAAGCACTTCGAGGGCACAACCCAATCTTAAGCTATTCTCCTTGTCCCCTAAGCTATGGCCCTGGGCTGAGAGCTGACCATGACCGATGGGCCTAGATTGTGGTACTGAATTTTAGCTGCTTTGTATCAGAGGCTTCCGGATCCTGCTCAAGTCAGGAGGATTTCTGAGAAGACTTCCTAACGCAGGAACAGGTTAATGTAGCCCCCAAATGGACTGTTAGAGGAGGTCTGAGCACTTAAACCAGCCTTGTGTTGCTGTGCCAAATGGAGTCCCAGCTGACCATCATGCTTTATCTCAGCTTTACATTTGTGCTTTTATTTTTAAAATGATTAGCACTAGAGAAGCCTATCAGTCAATCAGAAACCTATCCAAAAAAACTCAGGTGTAGCACTTGGTGTTTTAGTAGATGTAACTGCAAGGCCCATGCCTGTCTTCCTGACTGTAATCGGCACTCAGTGAGAAAACAATCTCTGGATTGTGGATATTAACCTTTACTAGCTAATTGATATGGTTTTGCCTACTTAACATGAGTAGGAGACATTTTTGTTTTAAAATTCTTTCCCATAACTTCATGTTTATATTTTGGGTGTTACCCCTACTTTTAACTGCTAGGAGATTTTTCCTTATCACTGTTGTTCACTTTTGTCAGCACATGACCACATGATATCTTTGCTCCCTTGGCTAAGTCTGTTGTGAGAAGTCATTAGGATACTTTATTTCTCTTTGGTCTGCTGTTGTCACTGTTATATCCTCAGCCTTCCAGGAGGGTGCTTTTTAACTAAAACTTGGGTTGTACTGTACTTGCTCAATTCTAATATACATTTTTCACACTTCATCATTTTCCAATTTCAGAAATCCAGATGGCTCTTAAAATTATGAACACACTTAATGTATGGTTTCTTTCTTTTTTTTCCTCCGTAATCTGGCATGTTAATAGACTGACTTCGAATTGATGGCATTCTTTTGGGATAAAACAAAGCAAGTTTGGTTTCATACCTCAGTAGAAAATATGGTTTCTAGTCAGTGCTTTCCAGCTGATAGAATTGAGTAGCAATTGAATTAGCTCAGCAGTTTCCAGAGTATGTTGGAAGAACATTGTTGGGGTGGATGTTAATAGGTGTGCTTTTGTAAAGGGCAAATCAGTTTGGATGCACTGCCTATTATATTTTTCCTGTCTTAGAGATTCTTCGCATGTGCACATCATATCAAAAACTCTGAGAAGCACTGTAGTTAAAAGTATCAGCAAAAAAAACCTTTGTCGTATTTATTTAATTCAATGTTTCCCAGAACAGAACGTTTTGAGGATTTGTGTGTATCTTTTAGGACTCCATTACTGAATTGGCACATTCAGCAATTCTAGTAAGCTCTTTAACACCATCTGTGGATGGGGAGGTTTCATCTAGTATATCCTTAAAGTAAAGGGCATTCATTAAATATGGATATTAATTGATTAATGAACTCTCTAGGTGCTTACTGGGTTTTTTGTTGTTGTTGTTGTTGTTGTTTTCAGAGTAGAGAGAAAACATTCTAAGCTGTGGTAGTTAAGAAAGTCTCCATGGAGAGACTAGACGAAGAAAATGTTGTGGGTGATGGATGGCACTTTTTGTAGAGGAGAAGGGGTGTTTTAGTTTGGTGGTGCGATGGAGCAGCAGTGTGAAGACTTATACTTGTGCCTGCACATAAGTAAATTTCAGAGCACATAAAAAAGGACCATGCCTGCCTAGCTCAGTGAGGCTGAGTGAAGCTGCGTGGTCTAAAAACCTATTTTTAAGGTCTTTTCTTTATTTTGTAAATTCACTGAGGGAGCAGATGGGTTCCAGTGACCACAGGACAGCTTAGCTGTGGACGAACAGGAGGGGACACACAACACTCAGGTTGAAAACAGAGAGGGATGGTGCATGAGAATGAAAGGGAGAAAGAACGTGTTCCGAGGACTTTAGAGCGTAGTAGTTCCAGGCACAGAGAAATTCATTCGAATGTAGGTCTGGTTGAAGAATGTTGGGTATTTCTTCCAGGGAAAGAGTGTCCTGGGAAGACCCCCATGAAGAAGGGTCTTAACTGGAGTTTCAAAAAGTAGCAAGAAAAACAGAACTTTTACAACTTAATAATAAACAAGAAAATAACCCGCTTTAAAAATGGGCCTAGGATTTAAATAGACATGCTTCTAAGAAGATATACAAATGACCGATAAATGCTTAAAATGATGTTCAACATCATTAGTCATTAGGGAATTACAAATCAAAACTATAATGGGATAACACTTTACATCCACTGGGATGGCTGTAATAAAAAAGATACAATAACAAGTATCAGTAAGGATGTGAATAAATCAGGATCCTTGTGCATTACATGGTGGGTGGGAATGTAAAATGGTGCAGCTACTTTGTAAAACAGTTCCTCATAATGTTAAACACAGAGACACCTCATGACCGATTCCACTCCTTGGTATACACCCAAGAGAATAGAAAACATATGTTCATGAAAACACTTGCACACAAACGTTCATAATAGCCCAAAGTGGAAATAACTCAAATGTCCATCAACTAATAAATGAATAAACAAAATATAGTACATCTGTACAATTCCTTGACAATGTGCTATATGGAAAAAGCCCAGCACAAACGGCCACGTGTTGTGTAATTCCACTATGAAATGTCCAGCACAGGCAAAGTCATGGCGGCAGAAAGAGCATCATCAGTGGCTGCCGGAGGCTGCGGAGGGGACGGGATGGGGAGTGACCGTTGATGGTGTGCAGTTTCTTTTTTGGGGTGACAAAATATTCTGGAATTAAATAGTGGTGGTGGTTATACAACCTTGTGAAAACTACTGAATTGGACACTTTCAAAGCGTGAATTTTATGGTGTGTGGATATCAATTAAAACAGAAAAATAGCAAGAAGGCCACTGTAGCTGGGGTACAAGGAGAGTAATATGAAAAAAGTGGTGAGAGAGGGCCAGGAGTAGGGTATCAATTTCAGGTCAAATTTTCTGCAATCGGGAAAAAAAAAAACCCTAAATAATAATTCCTTCCTCATTGTTTGTCATTGAGTCTCCTAGGATTTTCCTGTCACTCCTTCGTTCAAAGATCCTTCCCCTGAATTAAGAGGGTTTTGTTCTAAGTTGCTCAGAGAGTCAGTGGAATCTTTCTCAAGACAAGTGCCTTGTGATCTTCAGATCATAGTGTGTTTTTGGACTTCCCTCTGGACACTAATTCCATAATTCGGCTTCCTTATTGTGGTCCACCAGACGGCAATAGTCAGTGCTGACTGGGCAACTTCTGTTTAGCTTCTCCCTGAAGATTTGACTGTGGTAGACGTTTTAGTGTCATCTTCTAATTTGTTTATGGAACTCTGTCAAGCCCTTTTAAAAACATCTCTGTATTAAACAGGATTCACATGGCACTGGGCATTACTACAGGCAGCAACGTATTTGGGTCCAAGAGTCAGGATACCGCAGGAGGTTTAATACCGCTGGAGCTGAGGCTCCTGTCCCCTCGATAGAGAGATTTCTCCTGTTTTTAGCAGCGTATTGTATCTGTGCCTCTCTAACTCATGGACAGGAAGCACCTGGGGATGTTGTTAAAGTGCTGATTCAGTAGGCCTGGGTTGAAGCCTGAGATTCTGCAGTCATAACAAGCGCCCACTGCTGAGGCTGCTGCCGGTCCATGGATCACTCTGAGTAAGCGCTGATGCTGTATGGAGAAGATGGCTTTGGAGTGGGACAGAGCTGAATGCGAAAGGTGGCTCCATCATTCATTGGCTGTGGGAACGTGGGCAAGGTAATTAACATCGGAGCCGTAGTTTTCCTATTTGTAAGATCCAAGTAAGATCTAGCTCTTGGAAAAGTGTCTAACATGATGCACCTGGAATGTTAAGTTTTATTTGCCTTTTTTCCCCCTCCTCACAAGGATTGCAAATTCCATGGAAAGGGCAAAACAGCTAATACATAAAAGAAAGCCATAGGTTTTGAAGAGGTTTGTGATTTGTGTGGGTGAGATTGGGACGAGGAGAGGATGTAGAGGAAGTGGGATAATGAATCGTAGTCCTGAGGGCAACATTAATTTGCTTATTGGTCCTCAGATTACCATCGTTTTAATAAAGTGACTGTGCTAGTGTCAGCTGAGTCTGGATGATTTTTAGGCAAGATACTGGGTCTCTGCTTTCTCACAGTTAGCTTCTGTTTGGCCGGAAGGTCTTCTCTGAGCTGCTCCGTTGTTGCTGCACTTCCTTGGTGGAGTGGGCTCTGCCCATCCCAGCCTTGCTGCCCTCCCCTCTCCCTGACATTTCTCTCTTATGAAGACCCGAGGAAGTAAAGGAAGCCGAAATGCGGGTCATTGAGCTTCATTAGCAACATGGGATAAGTTTCAGGGGATGAGGTTGAAAATATTTGCTTCATTGTTG